GTGCTGTTACTTTGAAGCCAATATCCTCCTACTTCCGGTCTTCCTGTGACTGTCTCCTGCTGCCTTGCTGTATTCTCAACCTGTGACACATAAATATCAGCTGCTCCCGGCAGTAAACAGAAAAATATAAAAAGGGCATGTTTTTCGTTAACATAACAAAGTATGACATATTTTTATTATAGTAAAACCTTTATAAAATTCTAATACACGTCTTTTTTCTCTCTGCAGGTCTTCATCACATCACAGTGAGTGTCACACAACATAATGGGCGGATCATGTATAAAATTCACACATGATGACTTTTGTGTTTTTAAGGTGTCAAAGTCTCTACACAGTGAGGAGCTTTTAAAATCCAGTTTCAAATCATAGATACTGGATTAACTGGATTAATCGTGACTCTGCATATAAACCTGCATCCTGACCCTTTGGTGGCCCCTGAGTAACTGTTGCTCATCTAATCACATAATTCACTTTATTATGGGCTGTTTGTCATTTACAATAACATCACGAGCTGACTAAGAGGCTGAGAGAGAGGAAGCTGAAGGAAGTCTTTTAGCGCCATCTTGTGGTCAAACTGAGGTAGTCCATTTATTTTCCACAGGCTACAGTGTGAGTGTGTCTGTGTTTCATTCAGTTATTTATACACACTGGGAAATATCATTCACAAAGCAAAATGGTTACATTCAAAGCCCCTTTTTTCTTCTTTGTAATATTCATGTCAATGTTACCACTTAATAATGTCATCATGTCATCGTTTTTCTTGTTTTCAATCCTTTTGTCACTGTTGACAAATTAATTTCAGATCCTATAGTCAGGTAAAAGTGGAAAATAAAAAAATGAAATACATACAAGTAGCCTGTTTTCAAAATCTTACCAAAGTAAAAGCATAACAGTATAGCAATGAACAAACAGTAATGAACAAAATGTGTTTAAAGTACCAAAGTAAAAGTACCCGGTGTGCAGCAGAGTCAGAATATTACAAAATTTTATTGCCGCATTGTACATTCAAGAAGTATTTTGGTAGGTGAAGGATAGTTTTAAACACTTAATATACTTTGGGTAGTTTAATCCATGATAGTGCATTATATATTATAAGATCACAGGCTTTGTATGTTGTAATAATAATAATAATAATAATAATAATAGTAGCAATAACGTTAATAAAATATAATATATAGGCTCAATACAATTAAGAGTGGATTTTATTCCAAGTTTCAGTTGTTAGAATTGGTAATTGATTTTCCCCAGTATGTTTATTGTCATTTTGAAAGAATCACATAACAACAATACAACAGTTTGACACTAAAATAACATGCATTACACAGACATAGTCATCTACACACACTCTACTTGCACAGATATCAGGTACAATACCAATAAATCTAAATATTTCCCTGCATCTTTTTACAATTTCTGATAAGGTAATGCATACATTTACTCCTTTCATATGTTCATATATGCTTCCCAGAGCTGAAAAAGAAAAAATCCTTCACTTGCCCTTAGAAAAATAAGTTAGTCTTTCCAGACCTACAGAGTCCGATACCCCCTTTATCCACATTCTCAATGTTTGGACATCTGTACTCTTCCAACACAATGCAGCAGCTCTCCTGGCTGAGAGGAGTCCAAAGTCCAGAGGTTTAGTCTGTTTGGATGTTTGGATAGAGTCCTGTGGGTTTAGTCCAGGCACACACAGTCTGGCATTTAAAGGGACCTCAGTGTTAAACACCTCTGACGAACATTTATAACACCTATCCAAAGGTATAAAGTACCTTTCTCTATCAGGCACTTAGTACAATCATTAGGAATATTAAATTGGTCATTGATTAGTTCAGAACTGTAACGCTAGTAATGGCAGAAATGCAGTTAGTGTCAAATTGTATGTTTTGGGGTTGAATGTCCATTTAAGATTAGTTCACAGAGATTAGAGTCAGTTCATCTTGTTGACTAAAATGTGTCATATGTCTACAACCTGGTGCTTTTTCTTCTAATTTTTTGCCAAACCTCAACAGCAGTGGCTACTTGAGTCTCCCACGTGCTTTCACCACTAGCGCTGCATGTTTAAGAACCAAATAATCATAAATAGTCCACTGCAGAGGGGCCACCTTGTGGTCAAACATATGAATGCACATTTTGACCTATTAGTAATGTTAATATGCTAAATTAGGCTTAATTTACTGTGTTATCTTTGCTATAAGGTCCACACAGATGTTTTCGTTTGTCCTGGGCCAAAAATGGCTCTTGATAGTAAAGGTTACAGACCCCTGGGTTTGGGTTAGGGTTGGGGTTACGCATTTAGTTGTGCTCATTAATGCTGGGTGCACACTGGACTTGAAGCGTCAGTTCTCCATGGAGCCCTGCCTGCTTGCTTTCAGTGGCCATGTTAAGGTAAAATATGTCATATAGGTGATAACGGAAAGTGGCTTTGAGACAATCATGTAACAGACAGGATGTGAAACTTAACCTTCACCTTCAAGTGGTCACACTTTGCAGCCAAAAGCATCCTGTGTGTGTGTGTGTGTGTGTGTGTGTGTGTGTGTGTGTGTGTGTGTGTGTGTGTGAACTCATGCATCTATCTTTGTGAGAACCAATTAGAATTTAAGACCCTTGAGAGTACGGACATTTTTGGGGCCAGTGCTCACCTGCAGACCTGCAAAGGCCTGTTTGAAGGTTCAAACTTGGAGCTGATCTTCAGGTAAACATAGGTTTAGATAAGGGTTAGGGTTGAATGTTCACTTTGGATGCAATAATTCTAATAATAATTATAATAATTAAGGTGAAATATGTCATATAGGTGATAATGGCAAGAGGCTTTGAGTTAGTAATGTAGGTGGCAGGATGTGAAACTTCTGCTCACCAACAAGCTGTCACACAGTGGTGTGTGTGTGGAAAATATAGAGCATCTGAGAACACTTAAGACCAGCATTAGTTACCACAGCTGTTTGTTTTCCCATCTGACTGTGTTGATGAGTGTGTTAGTTTGTGTGTACGCTGGTGCCACATGTGTGCAGACAAACTCCTCTCTTTGAGTCTCAGCTTCATCTGAACTCTAACTGAGGGGGAAGGAAATAATAAACTGAAACTTCTGACCTTACACGTGTCTTTATGTTTTTAAAAAAATGAATTTCCTGCCCTTTAAAAAGATCTCTATCTCTCTCATCGTCCCTCCACTTCCTCTGTGACAGACCTGAGACGAGAGAGCAGCTCCAGTTGCAAGGTGCAAGACGTGTGCACAGACTGTGTGTGTGTGTGCACAGACTGTGTGTGGGCACATGTTGGGTGACTGAAGCAAGTAACAGCCATTATGAAGGGAAGGAGCTGAGCAAAGTATTTCACTCAAGTGTGTTCTAATATTAACTGTCCAAGTGTGTCAGGTGTTTTAAGAACAAGTCTGCAGACTGTAAAGGCCTTAAATACACTTTTATATCTTTCATTAGAAAAAGAATAGAATTCTTTACATGACTGTGAACTGGAGACAATCATGTATTCACATCTGCACTCTGCATCAGATAGTCACGACTTTATTTAACTCGTGAACGGCAGGTGGAAGCTGAGCTGAGCTGAGCTGAGCTGCTGCTGCTGCTGCTGCATGAGTCTCCTCCAGCTGTGGCTTCAAACAGTCCTCCCAGCACTCCAGTGTCCGGGCTTTGAAACTCTCCACAGCTCTATGGCTCACATCCCTGAGTCTCCTGCCAACAAAACTGATCGGTCACTTTTTAAGATGCGTCAATTTACACATAAGCAGGTAGGAAAACACCGGAAGTTACAAGAGATGGCGTTAAAATAAAAGCATCTTCAAGTGAGTGTTGATGAATGGAGTCCACAATACATACTGAGTACTGCCAGACGTTGACACTTTGATAATTTATCATGGCTCATCCCACTCATACCATGATATCTACGCTGATATCAGTTTAAAAGTGTGACATCTGCTTTATGTCGACTCCTGATAAAAAAAAAACACACTCTTTATTCATATTGACATAAACATTTCATCACTACTATTATTTTTGCTTTAATCGGTGCCAAAAACAATAGAAAGTGTAAAACAATAGTGGATTTGTGGATTTATAGATACACGCATGTGAGGAACGGGAGACAATTGTCCAATTTAACATGATACATGTAAAAATAAATATGTAGCCTAAATCTAATTATTATCATTATTACTATTTTTATTATTATAATAAATATATATAAATAATAATTATATATTATTATTAACATTCAAAAGCAAATAGCTTTGGTTTAGAGTGACCTCATGGCATTGCTAGCACATTTTCATAAAGTAAATCTTATTTTACTCTTGTTTTTTTTTTTTAAATTGGTGAGATGTCTCACCAAGATTTTATGTTTTGTTTAAATGCTTTTTTAGGTAGTATAAAGTAGCCTACAAGTTGAAATGAAAATAAAAAATAAATTAAATGTTTTTTTTAAGCGTTTTTTATTTGTAATACAAAAAGCAATTTGAAGTACATTTTATTTTGTTTTTTGTACAAAGTTTTTTTTTAATACTTTTTAGGTAGCTAGTACAAATTGAAATAAATTCAATTTTATTTTTTGTTTAAAGTTTTTTTTTTCAAGAGTTTTTGGTGATACAAAATACATTTTGAAATACATCTTATTTTTTCTTTTGTTCAAAGTTTGTTTTTCAATAGTTTTTTCTAGCTAATACAAAATACAAGTTCAAATACAATTTATTTATTGATTGATTTTTTTGTTGCAAGTTTTTTTAATTGGTTTTTAGGTAATACAAAATACAATTTGAAATAAAGTTTGTTTTATTTTAGCTTTTATGTCAAAACACAATCCTTCTTATAATTCATTTTGATTTAAAATCATTTTGTGTATTATTACCATAAAATATGATTACGTTGTTTGTATTTTCTTACCCGTGAAAATAAACAAAATACTATTTTTGACATACCGAATTGCCTGAGTCACAGGAAGTCTTTTATTGTGAAAATCATAACCGGAAATACTGTTTTACACGTGCCGTCTTGACGTCGGTCACTTGTTGAGCGGAGCGCACACACACAGGAAATCACGCAGCAATAATCTCATTTTACAAACGATACGTGTATCTGTAGTGAGGGAGTGTTTCATGTCAGTTTACAGCAGAAATATTTACACTAAGTCAAACTGTTTCATTTTTCTTTGAGTCTTTAATTTTCTAAAGAAACGCCCAAACAGGCTGAACTACTGATCTGGACTGAACCCTGCAGGACGCTCCTAACAAGTGATTGTCATCATGTCTGGTGAAGAAGCTCCAACTCAGCAGGAACAACCTGAGCAACAGCAGCAGGAGCAGCAGGAGCAGCAGGAGCAGAAACCCGACGACCCTCCGCCGCAGGAGCCCGGGAGCAGCCCTGCAGCAGCCGGGGAGAAGCCCCTCTCTTACCGGGCTCTGGTGCTGACCGGGTTCGGGGGTTATGATAAAGTCAAGCTGCAGGTGAAGACGCAGAAGCAGCCGCAGCTGGCGGCAGGAGAGGTCCTGGTGCGCGTCAAGGCGTGCGGGCTCAACTTCGCCGAGCTGATGGGCAAACAGGGGCTGTACGAGCCGCTGCCCGCCCCGCCCGTCACAATGGGAATGGAGGGCTCCGGGGTCATCGAGGCAGTCGGGGAGGATGTGAAGGACAGGAAGGTGAGTGGAGGCCTGCTGAGAGTGCGCTCACACCCACAGCATGCCACTGAACCCACGGACATACCCAGTCATGTGCCGAGGAGCTGCTCAGGGTGTAGTTTGGGTTTAAATCAGAGTTTACTGGAGTGTTTCTGGACTGGTAATCTACATCCTGCTGGTTCCCAGTGACACTGAAGTACCACTAAGTCAGATTTTTCCACTTTAGTTTTCCAATTTCTTTGGTGAAAGTTGTAGACCAGGGGTGTCAGACTCATTTTAGTCCAGGGCCACATACAGCCCAATTTGACCTCATATGGGATGGACCAATAAAACCATTGCACAATAACCTTTAAGTACCATCAGCTCCAATATTTCCCCTTGTTGTGTGTAAAGAACTGCAAATACAGTCTGTAGACCTTCATCCTTTTACAAAACAGATGAGTCAGTCTACATCTGACTGTCATTACATGTGCAATCATCCACTCATCTCCTGTTACAGACTCTTTTGAACTGAAGCTGCTGATTGACAATATTTTGCACAGTGTTCAGTATCTTTAAACATGGTCACAGTAAGTGTTCATTGATATATCAGAGAGCCTCTGAATCAGATTTTACATGAAGTCGGCATTGTTTAACTTGCTCCTGCAAACTGGCACTTCTTAGTCTAGTCATCTAGTGGGCCAGATTGGACCCTTTGGCTGGCCAGTTCTGGCCCACAGGAATCAAGAAAACCTGCAAACTGTTGGCCTTTAGATGGCAGAAACCACGCCCATCACTTCATTGAGTATTCTGTCTATGAATAAGTTCCTCTTCTTACTAGTGTCACCGTGAAAAAAATAGGGCTGGGCAAGTGTTATCAATAGCTGCGCAACTACAGTAGATACCATCTTGTAAGTGTGGTCTTCCTGGTTTTAAAGCTGCATTACAGTGAAATGATGTGGCTGTCTGAACTGACAGACTGTTCCAGCTGATTTATTACTTGCCTCTATCCACTGACTCATTATATCCACATTACTGATGATTATAAATCAAACATCTTGCTGTGTAAGTATTTTGTGAAAGTGCCTACAATATTATCGCAACATTGATATTGAGGTATTTGATAAAATATATTGTGATATTCAATTTTCTTCATATTGCCCAGCAGTAGTTTAGATTATATGCTTTTCAGATCCCCAAAAAATGGCCAGAATTATTCAATATTTTTGCTACTGATTAATCATAGCAATTAATTATTAATCATTCTCTTCATCACTAGTCTGACAATAGTGTATAAACAGCTGTCACAATAACCTAAACTCAAATTGTTTTGTCAGGCCAACAGTCCAAATAATGATGAAACACTGACAAGCAGTTAAATCTCATGATTTAGAGGCTGGAACCAATAAATGCCATTTTTTGCCATCTGATTGATTATCAGAATAGTTCCTGATAATTCTCTGTCTATTGACCAAACATTTAATCAACTGTTTCATCTCTATATCTAATGATGCCATCTATTGGTACAAACAGCCTTAAAGTAGCAGTGTGTGGGATTTAGTGCCATCTAGTGGTGAGGATTGCCAATTGCAACAGGCTGAAATTTCTCCCATTTGTTCATTTTTGAGGAGGTTTTTATCAGGAGCTGAAGTATCCTCAGAGATCTCTTCCTCTCCAGAACAAACAGACCTGATTTAAACCAATAAAAACACTGAATAAAGCAATTTCACGTTAAAAATCAGTGTCTCTCCTACACTGTTTGGCTCAACGCTAGCCCAGCACCAGCTAATGTGTGTTCAATCGAGCTCAAGTTTGTTTGCCCCCTAAGTGCAGTTCGTTTGGGCAGGTGTGAACACAGCAATCGCCAAAACTGAGACCTTCTTGAAGAGGTGGTCTCGGTCCGGTTCCAAACGAACTCTGGTGCGGTTTGTTTGTGGTGAGAACGTGTTCCGACCTGGATCTGAACCAACTGCAGTCACATGACACATTGTTTGGGTTAAACATGAGCTTGGTACAGTCCTGGAGGATTATTAATGTGCACCTCCTCCTGTACTGCCTTAATATGCACATTCAGCACATCCAATGCATCAAAACATTGTTTTCTAGTTGGAGCCGCGCCTCGTTTTCAAACTGTATGGTTTGACTAAAATGAACAATGACAGCAATATAGTCCACGATGACCAGCACTAAAATCAACCTGTGTAGTTGTCCCTCCATTGTGACATTATAAAGTGTCACATTTATCTTGCAAGTGTACTCTTCTTCAACGTTTTCCCCGCATGGAAATTCTGACCAATCAAGAGCAGCTTTCTCACACAAGGCATTTGATCTGGTCCGCTTGTAAATGCTGCCATGAGAACACGAACCAACTCTAGGCAATTATGCAACTCTGTAACAAAATTAGTCCCTGATTCGGATCAAAGCAAGCAAAGATCCAGATGTTCAGGAGGTTTTTACCAGGAGCTGAATTATCTGCAGAGGTCTTGTCCTCTCCAAAACAAACAGACCAGTTGGTTCAAACCAGTAAACGTACAAAATCAGTGTTTTTCCAATGCTTCTCATTGTGGAGAGCTTCTTACAATTATGGCTGACTTGAGAATCTGAATGGCCTTTTCTAGAGACAGTGTTTGGTTTGTCTGTTCTGGGCTACTGTAGAAACATGGCGGTGTAACATGAAGATCTCCATGGATGAGGACCCGCTATGTAGAAATGGCTCATTCCAAAGTAATGAAAACACAACAATCTTTTATTTAAGGGTGCTTATAGACTAAGGAAAACATACTTATTATATTATATTCCATTTCTGCAAACATATCCCCCCAATTTCCTGCACACTGGACCTTTAAAGCATCTTCATTGTGTAAGCAGAGTGAAAAAGCAGAACCCATCCTCATCAGTCTGATCCATTAATGTGATGTGGTCTCCATTTTAAAAAGCAGGGTGGAAAGAGGCTTTCTTGCAGCAAAATGTAACATTGTGGCATTATGAATAGTTCCAGTGTCTGATTTACAGCGTGACCTTGAAGTGTGTTTACATTCTTCTTCCCGGCACTAGAGTACATTTACCTTCCCCATGATAAAAGCTTTCCAAAGGTCGACTTTTATGGAGTTTTAATTTATCAAGTGTCTGATAAAAGGGTACAGAATATTTATATGTGTCCTTTTAATCCAGTCAGCTGCAGGCTGCTCTGTGTGCAGCATACAAGCACCTGATTCTCTGTGGTTAAAGCACATTTTCTTGAGATACTGCAGAGTTGATATCAAAGCAACAAGAGGTGTCTGGGTTTATTTGTACAACAACATATAGAGGATGAAACCAGAGTGACTCATTGCAAGCAGCCTCCGTGACTTCATGTCATAGCTTTTGCAAAAACTCTGCAGTCTTCACTTAGAGGCTCAGATTTATTTGCTCACACTGGTACAATAAATCAAAGCAGCAGAGTCTCTTATGCGTACACTCATACATATGGAAGATGCAAAACACTCATATTTGGATGAGCAACAGGACTTTTCAGCTGTGTCATTGGGTTCATCAGAGCTGCGTCATTTGTTGTGTGTGTAAATCTCAGTAACAGATGACTCCCATGCAGAACTCTCAGAGGAACTCCGATGATTTTTGTCCTCTCATTTTCTTCCAAAAAATACATCATCCTTCCATAAACTGGAGAAGATTTTGGTTTAGGATCTGAATATGTTAAACTGTGATATACTGTCCTGGTTAATGTTTGCAAGAGGAGTGGAACATTCAGGGAGCTTTGCACAGTTAATCATTGTGCATCCTAGCTCCAGTTTGTGTCGTGTATTAACATCAGAGTGTCCTCAAAAACTCTTCTAACCATCAAGATGAAAAATATTGTCTGTTGCATGATAAAAAACTATAATCTAGTTTCCCAAGTTGTGCCTCCTCCTCCAGATCCAATGGTAGCTGCTGTAAATGACGTATTGACCGTATTTTTTGAAGTACCGTCAGTGCAGCTGTAAGTCTTGTTAAAGGACTTCCATTTTGCGAAGATCATTGAGTTTATAGTGTCCCACAAAATCAGTTGCTTAGCTCTGTTAATACATGACAGGCACAATCTTGGGCTTTGTGCATCCTAATCTATAAACAGATATCTGATACGTGTGCAGAATCTGTAGGCAGTGGTCCAAGACTTTGGTATCAGAAGTGTTCTGGTTTCTGTTTCAAGTCTGCCCCTTTGGACTAGAAATCCCATTTTAATGGCAGGTGAATAGTACGTATGGAGAGGCGAAACACATTGGCCGAAATGCGATCTCAAAACCCATTGGCCAATGTGTGACAAAAATTTAGCTTCATATCAGCTTATTTGAAACAAAATAATAAGCATTTATATTCAGATATCTGTTCATAGAGATGAGCAAGCCCTCTGGAACAGCACGTGGCCAAATCATAGAACTATAACTTTCGAGTTCGTCACGTGATGCCATTGGGCCAACAAAGACTTTTCCAATAGACTTACATTGTGAAAAAGATATCTGTAAATAAGAAGATTCTTGATACAAAATGACTCGTATCACTGCCACGATTTGATCCATTCGGACTGATAACTAGACTATCGAACTCTGTACTTTTAAGGGTTTCGACCAAATTATCTCAGTACTACCAAGTACCGATTTACATTAAATTCATTGGTGCCGAATGTCGGTACCTGAGACCACATATGTGTGAGAACACCAGGTTTAGACAAGAGGCAGAAAAGCTGTGAAGCACCCCAAAACTGGAAAATCAGTCATGGAGTTCTGCAGCCTCTCCAGTGGCTTCCCAGCAAGCCAAAGCTATGATTGACATGATTGTTTCAACATCTGGTCTATTTTCTTTTCCATATTAATTTAGTAACAGCCAAGTATCACTGCTAGACGGGCACACGCACTCACAAGCAGACAGATAAAGACAGAAGATTAGCTCGAAAATGTGATTTGTGCTAATACAGACAAAGTAAAGTACTGAAAAAAAGTTACTATTGGTTGGAGGTACCAAATTACTGGTACTGGAACCGGCACTGATACTGGTTCAGATGTGAACCG